TCGAGCTCCTCCCTAACGGCCACTAACATCCGAGTGGCCAAATGTGCACGAGACGCAGGTTCGATTCCTGGGCAAAGCCACAGCTGGGCCCTGGCTTGCACCCAGAGCCTTGCGGCGTGGGACTGCCTAGGAAACACCTCGAGCTCCTCCCTAACGGCCACTAACATCCAGACACACTGCACAGCTTAGTCCCAGGGGGGGCCGTGTCCGTCGGGAGCGGCAAAGCCAGGGAGGAGTCCCAGGGCACCTGGGCAGCGCTTTCAGCATCAGCTGTTACCCTCAAATGCGCATGCCCTGACACAGCCGTCAGGTGCCTCGCTGCTTAGGTACCGGGAGAGAATTTTCGGCCACATTGGAGGTGATCTGGGTACAGGATTCCTGGATTATGACAGTCCGGTAAGAGAGGCCTCCTCCATCCTTCTCTCCTGCACAGACATGCACCCAAAGGAGGGAAGGACAATCACAGAGTTGTCTACATCAGAGTGCTCAGCTTGTAGGAGCTGAGGGTTTCTACTAAAGTAATCTGCTAGGTTCAGAGTTAATCCATCATTAGGGTTCAGAGTTAACGCCACATTGTGCTGGCTCTGCACCATTCACACCTCGTTGCAAAGTGTTGGAGGCCTATCATTTTGGCATGACTGATGCCACCAACTGCTTGACGGTCACACAGGAGGACCCCATAGCTACAAACCACGTCACCCCGCATGAATACGCAGCCCCCGTCTGGAGCGGAGTGAGCTGTGAGCCGGCAGCACTGCGAGAGGGGAAACAGTGACGCAGCAGGGGGAAATTCCCAGAGTGCGGGAGACAGGCGCCCACGCTGGAATTTAGCCATGACCCTGAGGTCCCCCCCCAACGCATGTGAAACTAGCGGTGGGATCTGTAACGAGCACTTTAGTCAGCACCCTGGCTTGTGTCTCTGTCCGGCCGCTCCGCGGGGGGACGCTATGAAAAAGCCGCTTGCATGAGCTGGAAATCAAACCCAGGCCTGTCCAGGAGCAAATCCCAAATTCTGCCGCGAAGCCGCTCTAGGCCACTCCTTGGAATCGCTCTCCCGCCTGGGGGCACCAGCCTCTCGCGCGGGGGAGGCCCCTCCCCCCGCCAATGCAGAGAAATCAGATTTTTGCGCGGGGGAGGGGGCGCTCCGTGGCAGGGGCTGGGTTTGAACTTTCCGTTTATCTGGGGGCCCAGCCTGTTCTGGGCGCTCTGCATAGAAATCTGAGCAACAGGCCACGTCTGGCTCGTGGCCAGAGACAGCAGCCTCAGGGATTTTTGCTCCATTTCCTACAGCCCACCCGGGATGAGCAGGAAACAATTTGCAGAGGCAAGAGCCGGATCAGGCCAGGGCAAGCCCCGGGGATTCGGAGAGGCGGGTGCCGGGGCTTTCCTGAGCTCAAGCCCCCGGCCAGAGCAGCAGGCTGCTGTGTCAGCCAGCGGGCCACAAGCACAGAACCTGGCCCACGCTCCGAGCACGCCGGCAGAGCCACGTCACAGCAGAGCAGCCTGGGGGCCCAGGGAAGGCTGGTCAGACTCCTGCAGGGAAAAGCAGGGGGAGAAACAGCCCGATGGAGGGGCCCGTATGGTAAAAGATGCAGCCGCAGCCTCCCCAGCTCGCTCCTCAGCAGGGCAGGCAAAGGAAAAAAAAAACCACTGCATTGGCCGGGAATCGAACCCGGGCCTCCCGCGTGGCAGGCGAGAATTCTACCACTGAACCACCAATGCAACTGTTGAGTGAATTTTCCCTTTGCCATTCTCCTTACAGATGTTTCACCTCTGTTTCCTCCCCCCCTCTTTATTTTAACGTTTTTGCTTTCAGCGCACCCGGTCGTATTAACCTCCTCCCTCTGGAACATCTGGGAGGCTGAGTGTTACAGCCAGAGCATGTGGACCAGGGTATAGACTGGCTGGATGGATAGGGGTTTGTACGAGCGTGAGGGTGTATGATGCTGGTGTGTATTACAAGGAGTGCATAGACGGATGGATAATGGGAATTTCTGAAAATGGGTACATAGATGGATGGCTAGAGGGAGGTACTCGAATAACTAGGTAGAGGATGAGTAAGGATCTAGGGTGCATGGATGGCTAGCTAGATGGAGGGTGTGTACAGATCACATAGTTTACAACAGAAATCAGCTAGCAGCTTAATAGATGGATCTAGGTTATAACCCAATGTAAAGTTATCCTTATTCATAGACACCTTCTATCAATCCACCTACCTCCTCCCTTTCTATACTCCCTCTCTATCCATCCATCCATCCATTCCCAGAAACACGCGCTGTCTATTCACCCCACCCTAATACACCCCCTCCATCTATCCTTCCATCCCATACCCCCTTTATCAATCCATATACCCCACCCAAAACACCCCATCTATCCACCACCCCAGATCCCCTTTATCAATCCACCCCCCATCCGAATACACAGCCTCTCTCCAGCCCCACCACCCCCCACCCCCATGCCATCTCCAAGCTTCCCACGCTGCGTGCTGGTCCCCAGGTGTCAGAGCCGGGGTAACCGCCCCCTCCCCGCAATTAGCAGATCCATCAGCTCCATCCCCGTTAGTTCCGGGCTGCTGGGGGCTTCTTCAGCCATAAAACCCCAAATGGCCTCTCCAGCTTTGAGCGGAGGGGTGAGAACTTCCTCGGGGCCAAGGCGCCGGTTGTCCCAGCCCCATAAACTCATCAGGCTGCGGCAGGTGAGACTTTCCCAGGGCAGACTTTTTGCTTTTGAAGTAGCACCGATCCAGATACACTCCTCTGTCCGTCCCCCCACCCCTCTGCCG